TTATTTCTTGTAACCCCCGGGGGCACCTTGGTGAGTAAAGCATCACCAATTCCCTTCTGTGCTCCCATGATGAATTTATAGGCAGCCACAAGGTCGCCTCTCAACCTTCTCTTGCGGAGGATGAAAAGGTCCAGTTTCTCTAGTCTCTCCTCGTAGGGCTTGGTCTGTAGGCCCTTAACCATACGAGTGGCCCTTCTCTGGACTCTCTCCAGGTTATCCGCATCCCTCTTGAAGTGCGGCGCCCAGAATTGCACGCAGTACTCCAACTGCGGTCTGACCAGCGCCCAATAGAGGGGAAGTATCACCTCTTTGGATCTATTCGTCATGCATCTGCTGATGCACGATAAAGTGCCATTGGCTTTTTTGATGGCTTCGTCACACTGCCGACTCATGTTCATCTTGGAGTCCACTAGGACTCCAAGATCCCTTTCCGCTTCCGTGCCACCAAGCAGGTCATTTCCTAGGCAGTAGGTATGCTGGACATTTTTCCTCCCTAGGTGCAGTACTTTGCATTTCTCCTTGTTGAACTGCATTCTGTTGTTTTGTGCCCATATGTCCAACCTGTCCAGGTCTGCTTGTAGTTGTTCCCTGCCCTCCGGCGTGTCTACTTCTCCCCACATTTTTGTGTCATCCACAGCCTTGGACAGAGTACACTTCACTCCCTCGTCCAAGTCGCTGATGAAGACATTGAAGAGTACCGGTCCTAGGACCGAGCCCTGCAGTATGTCCTCCGAGGCAATGGCAACTCATCCTGATGTTTTTGAGTCTTTGAATAATATCCTTTTAATATGTATTGTCAGTGTTGGGGACTACCATTACTAATTCCTTATACTGCCCACGTCCTCAAATGCATAAAAGTATTTACTAAATTTAGTCCTTCATTGGATGCCTCAAAAATAATTTTAGCTCCTTAAAATAATTTGTTCCTCTATATTTCCTCTTCGACTCTAGGAATATTCTTCTTAAATCACAGTCCAGTGCAAACAAAGGATCCTAAATTAAGTGTAGTACGCAGGCAAAAAAATGGAACATTTTTCTCTCTAATATTTTTTTTTTTTATAAAGCATTTGTAACTTCCATATTTTGCTACTATTTGCTTATATTATTTTAATCAGGTGGTAGAAAGATACACCATTAAATTCACAACATTTTCCCCACAAGTCAATATTTCTGCAGAATAAGAAAGGTTCTTTGTAAATTCTCCTTACTTCAGGTATTCAGTGAAACACTCAATTACGGTACAGAAAATTTATTTTGCAAGCTTACCGATCGCACCACTTCACTAATCAAGATGACAGGTGTTCTCTTGCTAGGATTTGACGGCAATATCCACTGACTGTACAGCTCAAGCAAGAACTGAGAGCATGAATGGATATCAACACCAGCCCGATGTTTCCTACAAAGCACAACAAGCAAATGACAATCACTATTCTTGCATCTTTTTAAATAAAGAGACTACTCAGCAAGCACCAAGTGTGTGGAAGACAATACAGAATTCTCTCTTACTGAATTAAAAAAAAAAAACCCTGTTCAAGTGGTTAAGGGAAGAAACACAATGAGATACCTGGAGTTGATAGGAGAAGTTGGTGGTGAGGAAGGAGCAGGCAAGTCATTCTCCTCATCTTCATCTTCATCCCACTCCTCTTCTCTCAGGGGAGTGATATTATTTCCCAGCCACACAGAGTGTATAGAAACCTTAAACACCAAAAATGTTTAGCTGTTTCATAATCAAGCAGGAAGTTGCTAAAATAAATGAAAACTGTGCTGCACTCTAAGCCCACCCCTCTTACTCCCCCCTCCCCCACACATATTACATCTATTACACAATTACCTAGTTAATTACACAATTAATTTAGACCAGCTACACATACATATTAACTATTGAGCATTATAAAGATCCAACCAACTCTACAGTTAGTGCTGGAAAAAGTGCGATATCTGTATATCTGGTTTCTATCCAGATTTAATTTGCATGTGTAGCCTGTGCCTCTGCAGCTGGGAGACTGTAGCTGCTGTGATCCCCCAATCATGGGAGTGCACAGGGCAACCCCACAGCTGGGAGCCCTGTCAGCTGAGGGGGCTCCCAGCTATGGGAACTTTCTTCTTGCCAGTGCAGGGGGAGTCCCCCCTGCACTGGCAATAAGATGCAATGGGATGCGATTCAGAATCCCAAAAATCACGTGGCATGGCAGGAGGCATGATTTTGCAGATCACACATTAGATTCCATTGCACCTTTACTTGTGTGTATAAAGGGGCCCCAAGACAGGAGCAAAGAAGTCTGCAAGACACAAGTTTCATGCCACATTTTTATAAATTTACACACCATGTTTTATGACTAGATAAGACCATAGGATTATACTGTGCACCCTTGAGGTCAATGAAAATACGCACCTTTCCGAAGCAATATGGCAGAGTAAATTTACAGAAACTGTATTGCTAAGCAACCATCTTGCTACATTTATACTATATTAGCCCTGGTCTGGAAACAACAAGTAAGAAGCAAGACACAGCATCCAAATTCTCTACGATAAAGCTAAGTGTTTTCTTTAATTATACCTCTTATAAAGTAGAATAATCTGTACCATGAAACTGGGAAGGATTATGAACACGTAGGAGGATGCAAGCACAATTCAGAAGGATCCTGACAGATTGGAAATCTGGGCTAGAGCTAACAGGATGAAGGTGAATAAGGATAAATGCAAGGTGCTACATCTCAGAAGGAATAACCAAAAGCACAAATATAAAGTGGGCAGCATCTGGTTGGAGAGCAGCACTATGGAAATGACTTGGGAGTCTTGGTAACCTACCAACTCAATGAGTCTGCAGTGTAAGGCAGCTGCACAGAAGGTGAATACAGGTTTGGGATACATCAACAGAAGCGTTAGGTGCAAGACACGGGAGGCAATAGCGCCTCTACTTGACACTGGTTAGGCCTCATCTGGAGTATGGTGTGCAGTTCTGGGTTCCATATTTTAAAAAGGCCTTGGAGAAGTTTGAGGGGGTCCAGAGGTGGGCAACAAAGACAATAAAAGGCTTGTAAAGCAAGCCATATGAAGAGAGGCTGAAGGAGCTAGGCATGTTCAGCTTGCAGAAAAGGGGACATGACAGCAGTCTTCAAATACTTGAGGGACTTTCATAAAGAAGAGGAAAAGCACCTTTTCTCCTTTGCAGCAGAGAGGAGGACACAGATCAATGGCTTGAAGTTTAGATTGGATAACTGAAAAAACTTCTTAACAATTAAAACAGTGGCAGTGGAATAGACTGCCTATGGAAGCTGTGGACTATCACTGGAGGTGTTTAAGGGGGGGGGGGGTGATCTAGGCACACCTCAAGAGGAGGCTGGACAGCCACTGGTTGGGAATGATCTAGGCACATCTAGGCCTTTTCTACTATGGGCATTTCCCATGCTTCTGGGCTTTGCTGGTCCCCCCCCCACACACACTTTTTTGTTACATGTGTCAGGGTGCTTTTAAGCCTTTCCAGAAGCACTGGTTACAGCCAAGGCTGGGGATTTTAATTGGGGTATGCCAGTGCTCTTGCTGGGACCAAAGCTATAGGTTCCTGGCTACAGGGTCTTGCCCCTCCACTGAAGGTCAGGACAACTACCAGATTTGGGGTCAGGAAAGTATTTTATACCCTACTCACTTTGTGGTGGGTTTTGTAGGAGGGGGTGTGGCCCACTACCCAGGTGATCTTGAGCATATATTGACAATGTGTCATAGAAGCAGGACATTGGCTGCCACGGTTCCCCCGCTTTACCTGTAGCAGGTTAGGGTGTTATGTCTGTGTTGCATCAGGGTTGACAGTAGAGTTCAGATTATGGTTTGTATGAGACAGTTTGAATAGGGATAAGCGTGCTTTAGGCAGGGGGGTTGGACTAGATGACCTCTGGAGGTCCCTTCCAGTCCTACTTCTCTACGATTCTATGAATTTGAGTTAAAAGTTGAAAGTGAAGAAAGGAAGAAGAAAGTTCTTGCATACATTACAAAGGCTTGGAACCGCAATAGGGTTTGGTTAATTGCAACTTTCATACTTATTTTAGAGAAAAGTGACAATTAGAAAAAAGTCTAGGAAAGGCAGAATTTCAGCAATCATATGCTGAACAGCCAAGTCTCAAGTAACAGGCAGTATCTGTAAGCTTCTGCAAAGAGATGCTTGAAAAATTAAACACAGATCAGTATAAAACCTGATATGTAACCAGAGGCTTGAAGGATGTCTGAGTTAATGCAAATGCAAAGTGTACTCTGCATCCTAATTTAAGTGGCTGAATAAATCTCTCTTACTTAGCTGAAGTGACCTTAATATAGACAATGCTGGATTGAAACCACGCAAAAGAAAACATACTACAAACTCCTGCAAACCTAAAAACTGGTTTTGCTGTATGGTTAACAACTTAAGTTGCCTCAAATTTTGAATCTGAACTAAGCTCAGAACCAGCCACTTTCTTTTGCATGTTTCACCAAGAAAATGTATAAAACTGAAAAAAAAAAACCCAAACACTTTGGTGTGCTCACCATATGATTTTAGGCTGCATCACTGCTACTAGAAGAAGAGGGTAGTATTACAATTCTTATGACAAGCTTTCTAATGAAATATTGTTCTTTTTAAAGAAGCATGTTTTTTATCTGTATCCTTAACTTGCCATATGCTACCTCTCTACTACTATAACTTGAAACATCTGAAATATTCTATTACGAAATTGAAGATAAAAAATATGCAAAACGTAGTGAAATAGTTAACTAGCAAATTTTGCTGTTCTCCATTTAAGATATTTAGTTGAGCACTTGGCAGAGGAAAATGACACAGATGAACATGGTTTTCAAATTGAAAGAGCAGGTATTTCATTTATAACTTGCTTTCTGATCTTGAGCATGCTCTCATGTTCCTCTTTTCTTTGACAACTTAAACAAGAAAGTGAAAGACCTTAAGAAAAGATGTTATGGAGCATTTTTCAAAAGTCCACCGACACATTCTAAATGATAACTACAAGGGTTTCAATAGCAGTTATAGTTAAATAACCAGTAGAGCTCAGAGCCTATGAAAAAAAAGGCCACCTGTTTGGGTGCTGATGTATGATTTTGGGAGCTTAACTTAAAGCATGTAAGCCTGCAACGTTCACATCTGTTGTATGCATCTACAGCATTAAATATTAACATTTATTTCTGTGAAGTGCCCCATGCACTTATGACACATAAGGAACTTTTACACCTTTTTTGTTACAAATCAAAAGAATACTTTTGTGAATACAATATGCCAAGATCAGTATCCAAAAAAAAGAGCTGTGCCTCTGTTTAGCACATAACTAATAAGAACTGAAAAATCAAATGACCTGGCATGAAGCAGAGCACAAGTGTAGCTGAAGTGCTGATGTAGGAAAGGGAAAATAACAAGTTAAAAGGTTTTAGTGGGTTACAACTACAAAGTTGAGTTGCAAGCCACATTTTAAAGTATGACTTTACTCTATTTATCTATAAGCACAATTTACATTTAAAAAAAATAAAAATAAATAAATAAATAAATAAAATCAGGAAATTTGTATGAATTCTAATGTGTAAAACAAAACCAAAAGTTTTCTATACCAATAGTTTAACAAATAAAGCAGAATTTAAATTTCCCTTCAGTATGTTTACTTGCTGCCACCTTTTCCAAAGTTTCTAAAGTGTTATACAATGGGCAGATTGCTTTTTTACTTTTAAGATAAAAAGCATAAAATGCTGCCTCTTTTCTTCCTGTGCTATGCAAGGATCAGCAATAACAAGAGACAGATGCACTTGGGCCTCCATATCCAGGAAATGTAATAATCATACAGCACTTCTGGTCCCAGTGACACTAGACGGTATTCATTAAGGCTAAGCCAGATCATCAGCATAAATGCATATACCCAATAGGGCTGTGTGAAACGGGCCCTATTCAATTCGGATCCGGCCCGAATCGGGGACGTTGTTTCGGATCACTGTCCCCGATCTGATTCGGTCAAATCTGAATCTGAAGATTCGACAAATCAGCGATTCAGAAACAAGCACAGCTTTAGGAAGTTTTTTTCTACATACCTTGAGGTAGCAAGCACGGCTCATGATCGCTGCAGTGCTGGGGCAGATGGAGCATCCCACAGGAGCATGGGGGGCTCTCCAGCGTGCTTGGCAGCAAACCCAAAAATACTTCTGGTCCACTTCTGCATCTGCCAGGGAGCGTGCTGGGGGGCCCCCCCGGCTTGGTGATCAGCTGCAGGGGGACCCCGGGTGCCCACCTAGACCCAGGAGCCACCAGTTCCCAAGCCAGGGGAGTGTGGGGGGCCCCCCCTGCAGACCAGGAAGTGGACCGGAAGTACTTCTGGGTCTGCTGCCAAGCGCACTGGGGAGAGCCCCGTGCTTCTGTGGGACACTGCATCTGCCCCAGCACCACAGCATTCAGAGCCCCTGCTACCTAGAGGTATATAGAAAAAACATTTAAAGTTGTATCTACGTCCGAATCAATTCAGGAGGGTTCCATATTGATTCAGAGAGATTAAAGGTTTCTCCGATTAGATTTGGAGATTCGGCCACCAAATCTCCGCTGAATTGAATCAGGGACCGAAGCTTTGCACAGCCCTAATACCCGAGCGTTTCCCTTAATCCACTTTAGATTTCTGTATGCACCCTGCATACAGAGCACCCACAAATAGTAGTTAACATGTTTTTAGTGAGTCTATACGACTGTTTCCAGCACCCAGCATAAACTCTCCTCAGGGGCTAGCAAATGGAAAATAAGATTAATTCCAAGTTGAAAATTGGTACAAATTTTGAGACTCAAAGTTAGATAGATACTAATTTTGGGGTCAAACTGCAGGTTTTGAGAAAGGAGGGGAATTGGTGTAGAAGTAGATGAAAAGCGAAGAGAAAAAAGTCCATTTGATAAATTTATGTTAACAGTGTAGAATATAATTTCCTCAGAAAGTAATAAATTAGAATTAGGCATGCAAGACTAAAATAAATGAAGTTATTTTTAAAATAAGAGCAACCCAATTTGATTCACAGAATACTGATAAGGGATGCACATTATGCACTTTGTTGGGGTCAAACTCTAGGACTGCACACCAAATTTAATATTTCCCAGCTGCAATGTTAGTTGATACATGGGAATGCTTCAATTAAACTAAAAGAAAAATCAGCACGCACAAACCCTACATTAAAGAGACATTTATTTAAATGTGAAGCTTAAGCATCTGTACTGGGTAAACTGCAACTTCAAAAGCACTGCATGATGCATATGAATGTATTAGAAAATGTATTAAAAAATTAATTTTATTTGTAAAAACAAAATTACTTGAAAAAATATCAAATGCATATTATAAGGGTTAGCTCAGTGATATATGGGAAGATTTATTAAAAAAATTAATGTATCGAGCGATTATGTAACTTTTGAAAAGAATATTTTTATTCACATAACATGATGTCTTTCCTTGCCACATGACCCTGGAGCAGCAGCCTTTTAAAAATATCAGTACGCAAAAATAAGGGCTTAGAATACAAACTGACTGCCAATTAAAACTTCAGCATTGCTAGGGCTAGAACTGTGCTATGGCTATGTGCTATGCATCATGGCTGTAACTTTTCTTGGAGGAAATGCTCATTAAAAAGGCATTTATAAGTATTTAACATACAGCAATTTAAAATACGCCCACAAGGGAGGTACTACGGGGGCCTAGACACACAAAACATTGACATCTTTCTATTTTTATTGGAGATATTAGATTGACAGTTCAGTTCCTTTAGCAATAACATTACACTAAATATTCAAAACTGAACTTCACTAATATATTATGGGGGGTTTTTGGGGAACTATTTAACCTCACACACAAGTGGGAGCTAAAATTAAACTCGCTTGCCCACTGTGGAGTTATTTCTTTTATGACTAAATTAAGTTAGTAATTTTGATTTAAATTCCTAAGCCATGCTTGGGGTACTGATGTTTATTTAGTAAAAATCTAGTCAAACTTATATCCAAGACAGATTTACTGAGAATTAAAAAAAAACACCTCCTGACTCTGTTCTCAGTCAGAACTTAGATTTTTCTTATTATACTGAAGTTAAATGTTATGTTAAATAATGCTTCTGCAAAGCATCTTTAATGGATTTTTAAGAAAGAAATAAAAGTCACATTGAACATGCTGTGTTAACTTGAACAAACCTGTCCCAGTTTATAATCCATGTTTCCTAATTCTCGCTCAGTATTGATCTGCAGCAAAAGCTTTTCGTGGCTGATAAGAGCCGCTGAAAGAGAGAATTTTTTTTTAAGCAAATACTTAAATGAATCTAAAAACTAGTTTATTTTCTATATGTTTGGAACAGCTGAGAACACAACTGATTGGGGGGGGCGGCGGCAGCGATACACCACCGTTTCAGTCAACCATACTGCTCAGCTAGGGACAGCAGCTGCAGACAGGGAAGAGAAACATGCTGCTCAGCACAGAGGGGAAGGGAGGGGAAAGGAAATAGTTTTACCTGCTTGAGGGACTGTATAAAATCCCCAGCTGCTGCTCCTGCCACAGCCTTCTCTCCTGCATGTGTGCGTGTGTGGGGAGGACCTCCTGGATGTATACGTGGGAACTGGGTTGCAGCCACCCCTGCAGCACAGGCTGCTGCTTCTACCACCCCCATCCCCTTTCCAAAATCCTGGATCCACCCATGCAAGTATATTTGTTATTCTTCCCCCTCCACAAGGAACAATGCAAGTCACTGCAGAATTGAAGAATCTTCCACACAATTGGCCATTAGACATTTACCTGTGGTAGCAGGAGAAAGTGACGGAACAGGGTCCCAGGCTTGGTATAAATGGTGTGTTGCAATATTATCTCTCTTGGATACCATTGCTTGGATTTCTTGTTCCACAATCCCTCTAACAACACTTAACTTCCTCCCAAACCTGAAAGCCCAGCAGAAATCAGAATGGTGGTTTAAGGAGATTTTTTTCCACCAATATTTTCCTGTCAATTTGAGTATAAAGTGACTACCTGTAGTATACTCATTTTGCCAATTACTGCTTTAGGGGAAGTCAGTCAGCTGAGGTGCAAGTATGCAGACTAGCTGTTTAAATAAGTTTGAAATCTGGCTTGAAGTTGCACTTTACTCCTCTTTCAGAGTTACCTTAGAATCCCACAAAGTTCTTAGCATCATGCAACTGCTATGATTTACTATGACTAAATAAATGTGCCCTGCGTGTGACATTCCATATAGTTTTGCTTAATTTCTAATTTGTCCACATTTGTGTTATTACTAGATTAAGCTATTTTGCTTTCAGGTAATCTACATGCAAGTATAAAACACACATGCTTTCAGAGTTGGTGAAATACCTTGTATCCAGAGCTTTTAAAGCTTTGTTGCGGGGCTGCTGCTCCAAGCAACTAACTGCTGGATTGCCTGCCACAGGTATTGTCATTGCACTCAGCACCAACGAGGTTATGGCTTGTACTGCAAGAACATTAATTTGGGTCCTCTCCGTGTCCTCCTGCAAGATGAACATACAGGCTCTTAAACTGAAAATGGAAAGTTCAAACTAGAGAAGACACACTGCTTGATGCTAAAGACAATCTTTGCTCTCAGTAGTCCTACAGGAAAAAAACCACAACCAAACAACTGGGCAATGTGCCTAGTGATACTTCCACCCAATCAAAAATCAGGCTACCAGCTCAGCAAGCTGATGATGAATCACTGCCATACTTCATCTCTGGATCCTGCTCATCACCTACCTCGCACATGAAAGAAAAAAATGGTATCTCCCAACAATGTACAATTCTGATCTCTGCTTCAAAAATTGCCTACTCCCAAGTTTCTGTGTTCACATGTGAACTTGAGTGGATTTCAAATCTTCCCCTAAGTTTTATGATATTTATTTGGGGATTTCGGTCCAGAACTATCTAATCAGCCATTGGGGTGCTTCTTCCCCAAATGCCCCCAAATGATTTCAAAAAGCTAATTTCAAACATTAACATTTTTTCCATTGTTGGTATATTTAACAATCTTTAGCATACATCTTTGGTGTACTTAATCTTTTTTTGTGGGTTTTTTTGTTAAAACAATACAACTCCCATTAGTATCACAGAGCACCTCTCAAGCTGCAATGCATTTATCTTGCTTGGGAGGTAAAGAAACAGTACTGTCCCTATGTTACAGATGGGGAACTACAGCAGAGAGAATAAGCTTCAGATCCACAAACAAACTTTTAAGTGCCTGGCTCCAGGAGTGAGATTCACAAAGCTGAGTTAAGAACCTAAGATCCTTAAATAGCGAGGAGTGAAAGCTAGGCTTGTAAAAATTATTTCTAAAACAGGCAGCACAATGAATGGGGATAGGTCTACTCCAGTCAACAGGGAATGATGAAATCGCACCCCTTTACTGGACTTTTGCATGCACCTACAGTTTTGACTTGAGCACCTCTCTGCAAAACAGGGATTCAAAATCTGAACCTGTTTCTTGGGCTTTGGTACCTAAATCACCCCTTTGGGTATGGACAACTAGCTAATTTTAAGACACAGATGCCAGTGGATGTGCTTGCCTTTTTAATAATACATCAAGTGCTTAGTGAACTCACTCAGGAAGCAGATGACCTGAATTTCATGGCTCTCAACCCTCATATCTCCTGCATCCTATGACAGTGCCCTAACCACCAGGCTATAGGCCAGGGGCGGGCAAAATGCGGCCAGGCCAATCTATCTGGCCCACGGGGCCCCTAAAAATATAGGAAAATCAATATCCAATATCTGGCTGCCTGTCATGTGGCCCTTGATGGCTTCCCAAAACTCAGTAAGTGGCCCTCCGCCCAAAATAATTGCCTGCCCCTGCTATAGGCTATGCCAGCCTTCACACACCCCTGCAGAAGCTGGAACACTGCATAAAAAGAAATGCAAGATTCATATGGCCAGGGAAGACAAGCGAAGGGGAACATGAGACTGCATCGCAGTGATGAGGTACTTCCTTGACAGCAGGAAGCTCTTGTGGATTTCCACAAAAATGCTTATGCATTTTACCCAATAGCTGTCATGACTTAACAAGTTCTCTCCATTTGACTTCTACAAGACTCCTGTCAAAATAAATCTGCCTTTTCATTTAAAAGGAAATCATTCAAACTTGAAGCAGTACAGTTAGTCAGTCACAAGTCATCAGAAAATGACTTTATTAAGGTTCCAAAATCAGAGACTTTGCTACATGCCATACACATGACATTAGCACAAGGCTATTCTTAAAATTTATATCAAACTAGTTTTACATAAAAAGGGAATATGAATACAGCAACTATATCCAAGTTGTTCCTGCTGGAATCTTATCTACTGTATTTCATGAGTTTGATTGTGAAGATTTAGTTCCCTATAACAGAGTTTGTTGCTTGCAACCTTTCTGAGCTTTCTGCATGTGCTCAACAATTGTGATAATCTATTTATTTGGAGCATATTTTTAGCAATGAATGAATAAAACAAAGGTAACGGAGAGGGTTTTATTCAAATTTCTAGAAGTACTCGCTAGAGATGGAGGTTTCAGCATAGCAATTTAATGTGCCTGGCCCTGTAAGTCTGAAAACCCAGAAGTATCAGATGAAGACCTCTGAGAGGAACTGTTCACTGTAATCTGCCTAAAGTTCCAATTATCAATGCAGAAAAACATCCGTACTACAGAAAACAGCTGCCAAACTATTTACCTCTTGTTGGCTTTCTTCCTGGTCCATTACAATTGGCTGTGTTACCAGCACACCAAGAAGAGTAGCCCATGTTTCTTCGAACTGGGTACGGCTAGTCCACCCTGTGAAAAAGTTAAGAGAAGTCAAGTCATTTACTACTTGAATGAAATGTTCACAAAAATGGAACAGTATTTTAAAATGAAGTGCTGTTTCCACAAATGTATTTTTACATTACATCCCATTTACTTTCAGTTTATTAGTTGCTGCAATCTAAATCTGTACTATTCAATTTTGGAAGTTGTTAAATCTCTAGAATCAGTAGAATCCTGAACATACCAACTGAAGTCATCCTATTCTGGTTTACTTCCAGGGTACAATTCCTTTTGTTTCATTTGTTTGTTTTGGTTTGGTTTGGGGTTTTTTTTGTTGTTTTTTTGTTTTGTTTTTTTTTTGTTTGTTTTTTACATAAAAAAGCTAAAAAGCTTGGTAAACAGAAATACAAAAAACAAGTTTTCATAACTCTCCAGAAGAATGTCTATTTGGCAGCACAGAAAATTGTGGAGTGACCCTTAAAAAGATTTAACATTCATTGAAAACTCATCCCAAGAAGGAAGGAGTTGTAAGAGGAACCCATTTTATGCAATTCAAATAATGCAGATTTCCCCATCAGATCCTTGACACATTCAACACCATGATAGATTTATAAACTCCTATTATACTATTTTATATCTAAAAAACAAAAAATAAGAACATTTTCCTGACACTGAACATTTAAAGCAATTAAAAGGACTAATCTTGCAATGTAAACTTATCAAATACTAAACACTCATTTAGAAACTGCTTTTTTATATATGGAAAATATATGTTGCAGTTTAACAAAATTCATTTGGTAGGAAACAGTGCAACAACTGTACATAAGCCTTCATTTTTCTTTTGAAAAGTTTAAAGTAAATACAGCATAACTTACCATTAGTATCAAACATAAGAGTAAACTAGATGGTATACCTAGTTTCTAGTATTTGCATGCTGCACATAAAAACCAATTAGGTTTTTCCCTATAGTAAAAGGGACAAAACTTCCAACAAAGGAATAGTGTTTGCTAAGCTGGCAACACAACAGTACTACAGAAAAAATATCTCTTGACAATTAAGCAAAATGTAACTATCAACAAATTAAAAATATTTCTATTTTAATCTTTAAAACCCCAATTCCTGTTCTACAGATACTGAAAGTTAGTAAGCTGTATCAAAACTGAATTACAGTCATTTTATAACACTGACCACACACAAAAACATGTTCATTTTAATTTGAGACTGAAGTAGAATTTCAACTCTACTATCCAGAAAGATGAAATCCTATTCACGAACAGATGATATTTTAGCTTAGTAATACTGTCTGTTAAGTTTCAGAATATATTATTAAATAGTGGTTCATTTCTGCTTTTACTAATAAAATGTGTTTCTGAAACTTGGTTCATACCTAAAACTTACTTGACACGGTCAAATGCTCCATTATGTATTAAACAGTAAAAATAATGGTTCCTGCCTTGCTGAATTACCTTTCATGTTTCCAACCATTTGGTAAGCCTGTCAATATAAAAACACACTGCAGCCTTTTATCACTAAACACATACTATGGAGCATATGTATTCAGGTGCAATCAGTTAAACTTCTTCTAGGAAAAGGAATTATGCATTCAAATAAATCACAAGAAATATTCTGTCTACCCTACCTAGTGTGTTAATGCGATAGATGAATTCTTTAAATATTTCTTTTTCTTGAAGGAATTCAACAGGAATTTCTGGGAAAACTGTACCAAAGTCACCCAAAGGTTTTGGTGACCAGCCTAGTTTCCAGACCTGTTCAAATATAATAACAGGTTTTTATTTAAAACAGTCAAAGGTATCAACATTACAGTTGTAAACACATTTGAGATAGTGTTTTTCTTGCATATTGATCTCCATTCCCACTCAAACACAAAGGGCACAGTACACTTAAATTCTTAAGTTTTTTTCCTTCCATGCTTTAAGTTTTGTTCATCCTTGCAGTCTGCTGTGGTTATTGTACTTCACACCATATTGATAATGAAATGAAAGCCTCAGGCCTTCAGAATAGCCTGAAAACATGCAGGTAATATTTTTCCTAAAATTGTGTATATTTGGCCATTCCTAACATAACAAAACACTTTTTCTGCCAAGTTATACCCTTCTGTTTACTGAAAGATGTCCACCAGAAATGTTAGGAAAATAAGCCATGAAATAATTTCTCTTTTCATTTCATAGACTTCTGAACAGGAAGAAGCATCACACAACATCTCATAAGCAATATCTTTCTCCTTTTACAGTTAATTGAAATGCAGGAAATTTTAGATCAATTATAAATTTGGACTACCCAAGTGGTAATTGCCACATAGACCTGACAACAGTCCACAGAGAAAGTAACAGCAACAAAATCAATTACTTGAAAACATGGAATCCTCTTTATGTATTCACTAAACACCTGAACAGCACAATTTCGATATTATAAAAAAATATTCAATTGCTAGATGCATCTAGTGACAGGGGACTTAACAAGCAAAAAGGCCCTTCTTCTCTTAACAGCATTTTAGAGCCAAGTTAATTTTAAACTGAATAATACAACATTAGAGAACTCCTTGCTTCACACAGCAACCTAAGAATTAGGTATGTACTATGTACTATTGCCCTTGCTTGTTCTCAGCTAGTGCAGTGAGGTGCAGATACAGATGTGCACAACTCATCCTCCCTCCACCCCACGGTTTTTTTTCTCTCTTTAACTACACAGAAGATTTACATAGTAGATATTTTCAGTTTTGCCAGGCAATGGTTAAGACCAATAGGACAAGCAAATCTTATGGTTAGGATTCAAAACTTAGAAAAGTAAAACGTTATGTTTTAACACCACCACATTTAGTTTACATAAAAATGGTCAATAGCTCTCGTGCTATGGAAATAAAGCAAGAGGCACATACCAAAGGAGGTACTCTTGTGTAGCTGTTCACTAGAGGTAGTCTGGCCAAGCTGATGATAATGTTCTTAAGGACAGGAGTGAGGAATGCTGGGATATTGCTGTTTCTCATGTGTCCCAATGCTAGAACAGTCTGCAAACACTCTACCAGTTCAGCCACCATTTCACAAGCCTTTGTAACATGCTTCATTTCTTAGTAGGGAAAAACAGAGGAAGTTCAATGTAAAGCATCACAAACATGCACAAAAATGTATACAAGAACAAGGAGGACACAAACATGCCAATAAGAACAAATAGTCTCAAAGGTGCTGAAGCTGAATCATGGCAAGAAGTAGCCACCTGCCTATCTGGACTCATACACAGTGTAATGGAGAAAAAGAGGTACTGAAAGGTTGAAATGGGTGCCTTTCAGCTAAAGCATGAATAGTTTTTACACTACCTATGCAGTGCAGTGAAACAGATTCCAGGAAACTTCAGTTTTATCTGTAAGTTGTTAATTATACCTGCTCAGAGCAAGCGTAAGTGATGCCAGGAGATGAAGAACAGTTTGCACAGTGTTTAACTTACTAATGCAAGTTTGATACTCCACCACTTTTAAAAAGTGAACATTTTCATATGAATTTGGGATTGCAGACAGGACCCAGCTAAGGCCTTCTTGATTTAAACTGGTAATACAGAGATAAGTATGGCATTTTCAAGAGGTAAAACTACAGGAAAGCTTAAAGTTTATTGCTGACTTACTCTGGTCATTGGAATCAACTTCATCTTCACCAACTATTTTTGAAGTATTTTTTTTCCTTTCTGGACTAAGCAGCTGATCTCCAGGTTTAACTGCAACTAAGTCAGATAAATGAAGAAATAAAAAAAATATATATATCAATATTTCCTCATTTGGAATCTTCTCCATCCCCAAGCTTCCAAAAATTGGCAAGCAATTATGGTTGCAAAATTCAAAGGCAAATGCAAAATAACAGGAGATGCCCCATGGTAGAAACCCATTTGGCAAATTAAAAAAAGGTCAGGAAAGTTTTTGTCCAGCGGTGGCATCTGAACAGTGCTATTTGCCAATTTATTTTGCAGCCTTTCCACAGCTATTCAAATTTAACTCACCTGCTTCTATTAGAAATCGCACACAATTAATAAGAGAGCAGGCATGCGTCACATACACTGCAGAAGCCAGTGAGTTCCAGAGAGCAGCCTGCTGCAAAGTCAGGCAACAACAATCCAAAACAGCTTGAATATCTATACTTAGAGGGACCTGTTCATGTATTAAATGCCATGACAGTGCCTGTACAAGAAAAAATGTCCATTAATATTGAACTGTTCTAACATGCAAAAATAAGAGCAAACTTAATTTATCCTCCATGATATATAAATGTTCATCAACTAAGATTATAAATAATTTTGTTTACTGTAGTACTGTACTGTTCCAGAAAAATAAGGTTACAAAGCTAAGCTGTAAGTATTATATTAATGCAAAATATCATGTTTATTCACCTTTCTAACAGGCTGCAATGTCTCTCTCAAAATTGTCAAGATATTCCTCGCCCTCTGCATGCCTCCTCTCCCCTGTGCCAGTGAAAAAGCCTCCAACAGAATCCATCTTCCGCAGCTCTTACTCCCTCCATAACTCCAATATATAGCTCATTCCTATTTTCTATATTAGCTCATTCAATAATTACTCTGTTGGGAAACTACAGATCAAAATTTCTACTAAATCTTCACAAGTTATCTGCTGTAAATATTCTGCCACATATTAAGGTCTTTATCTTACCTCTAGTGACATTACAACAAACTTCAATATATCACTTTCTTTGTCAGGTGGAATACGAAGACATGCTGGTAGTTTAGAGAGTAACAGCAAATACTGAGCCAGTGCACGACAGAGTGTCATCACAGACTGATACACCAACACATCGCCTAGAAAAAAAGAACTCACATAAAACCTTGGTGCCTGAAATAATCAAACACTTGCTTTAACTGATTAAAGTGTTTTACCACCAATTATCTAATTCCATGAAAAAACTGACTTATTGGGACAACACTGCTATGTCTCACGATAGAGAGAACAACAAAAGACCATTACTTCTATTACCAAAGATATCACTTAGTTTGTTCCAGTAGGCTGAAGTCTCAATTGGCTGCAATGGTTGAAAAACTTGATGGTTGGCTGGAAGTTTTTGTACAATGGTAGACACATGATCTAGAGTTACCCGACGAGCAGTTTCAAAGAGACTGGTCTTCTGGTCTCCTGACATTTCATTCATGCCAAGGCTTAAACAGGGAGACAACAAGCTTAAGTTGAATTCCTGAAAGCACAAACAACAAATAAAAGACTTGAAAAAATACACTTTAAAAAAAAAAAAAGTTAAGAGTTTAGTTAATGCTATACAAATGTGTATAGGAAAAAAATAAGCCACAGATGGATTATGATACAGCAACAGATACCAAAATCAAAGCCGTGATCCATTTTGAAGTTAGCTAGGGTTCAGCTTTTTATTTTAAGTGAAAAAAACAAGTACACCCATCCCAATTTTTTAGCACTGAAACAAAACAGTTTCCTGAGCAATGCAACTGGTTGGAACGGTGCACCTAATCACTGTGACACGCTATGGGTTCTACTGTAACATTTCCGCGTTAAATGTGTTCATATGTTGTGTGCCTCCGTTTCCCTGATTAACCTGTGCACTGGGCCAGGAACGAAGGGATAATAGAGGCCTGTTAAGTCCCAGAGCTGCCTACAAGTGGGAGAAAATAAAATGGACCTCAGGCATCAGAAAGCGTTGCTGACACTTCAGCTAAGGTGGGATTGCTCCCAGGAGGCTCCAGGGAAGCTGAAGAGCATGACAATGGAGAGAGCAGCCTGATCAAGCAGAGCACTGGCTGGTGGGGGCAGTCTGAAGACAAACCAGCTGAGCAGTTTTTGGGACTTCTGGCTGCGCAGACTGGAAAGAGAACAGCTGAGCAACCCTTGGTGCTCAGGCCTGTGGAGGCTGGACTGCGGAGTGAGAGATTGCTTCAGTTTTGGAAGGGGCAGAGAACATCTGGCTAAGTGGCCTCCTCCCTAATAAACTCTTTTACTGAAGAGGAGCTGTATGCTTTCCTGCTTGAAACTTCACGAAATGCTTCTCCCTATCAAGAGGTAAAGTCTCTCTCTTGGAACTTGAAGAAAGTTCCCTTATCAGGGCCATGGAAAACCACGGAGGGTGAGGGACTGAAAGGCCAAGGTCTCAGAAACAGAAGGAGCAATGGATCCCACCCTGCTCCAGAAGCCATATCCAGGCTGTCTGAGTTCCCCCTAAAGGCCAGACAAGATCATGGAGATCACAAGCAAGCACTCCTTTTGGGAGGGAAGGGGGCACAGACTCTGTGACAATACACAGTGGTTCTCCATCCCTCCCTTTATTTTTTAAAGGCTCCAGGCACCCGTCTATAACTTCTTGAAATCAGGTGCCACTTAATTTCATAGACATCAGGGCTGGAAGGGACCTCGGAAGATCATCGAGTCCAGCCCCCCGCCCAAAGGGCAGGAAGTCAGCTGGGGTCATAGGATCCCAGCAAGATAAGCATCCAGTTTCATCTTGAAGGTGTTCAATGAAGGCGCTTGAACCACCTCCGGTGGCAGGCTGTTCCAGGCCTTGGGGGCTCGGACAGTAAAGAAATTCTTCCTTATGTCCAGCCTGAAACGATCTTGAAGTAGTTTGTGACCATTCGACCTCGTCATCCCTTGGGGCGCTCTGGTGAACAAACGTTCCCCCAGATGCTGGTGGTCACCCCTGATAAACTTATAGGTGGCCAACAGATCACCCCTGAGCCTGCGCTTTTTCAGGCTAAAGAGCCCCAGGGCTCTCAGCCTGTCATCGTAGGGTCTGCTTCCCTGACCTCTGATCATGCGCGTGGCTCTTCTCTGGACTCTCTCAAGCTTCTCCACATCCTTTTTGAATTGTGGAGCCCAAAACTGGACGCAGTACTCCAGCTGCGGCCTCACTAAGGCCGAGTACAGGGGGAGAATGACGTCCCGGGATTTGCTTGAGAAGCATCTAGGGATGGAAGCCAGCGTTTTGGTCGCTTTACTAGCCGCCGCATCGCATTGCAGGCTCACGTTCATCTTGTGGTCAACGATAACCCCCAAGTCTCTTTCTTGCATAGTGCTAGCCA